GTCATGTTTAATAAATTGTTGGTTATAGTTTTTATTATCGACTTTTACTCTGGATATAGGCCAGGATCCCAAATACCCAGTCTTTCAATTTGTGCCCATTTCTAATACTCAGTGTTAGAAATGGGCCAAGAGTTAGTTTTGGAACTAATGTCCCCTGAAACAGTGTGAAAGGAAGAAAATTTTATAAATATAATTTTTTGAGTACAAAGAAGGGAACAGAAGGGGTATGGAAACGTTCTCAACTAAGAGCACAGAGAATGGATCAAATGTCTAGTATTCTATTATCCGAAAGGTTGAGTCATGGCTTACTCCACACAGGGCTCTCAGATATGAAAAGCAAGGCAGCTGTAGAGAGAACCTAACCATTCTGTGGCTTGGCAGCAACTGCAGCAATTAGCATTACATAAAAAATGTGTATTCTCAGGTGGAAACAGTGTAAATTCATCTCAGGAGAGGGACCTGGTATTGGAAATTTCAATCTCTCTGATTAAACTAAATTTTTCTAATTTCACCATGAATGCATTTACAGAAGTTGATTTCATTTTCTGTCCCAAAACTTTCATTTTCCGTCCCAAGGATTCATTTTCTATCCCAAACCCTGTAAACAAAATTTGTATTTCACTAGTCTGATTTCCTATACAAAGAGTTGATTTCATTTTCCATCCCAAATATTCATTTTCTGTCCCAACCCCAAGAAACATATTTCAAATTCCACTAAACTGTTTCACATTAACAGAAGCTGATCTTATTTTCAGTTACAAAACTTTAATTTGTTGTCCCTAATACTTCATTTGCTACCTCAAAAGGTTAATTTTCTGTCCCTAAAATATTTTTTTTTGTCCCAAACATTTTATTTTCAGTTGCCTGCAATTTCATTTTCTATCCCAAAAAAAATTCATTTTTTGTCCTAAAACAAAATTCATTTTTCCTAAATCCACTATTCTCCTCTTAGTATATTAAATTTTAATTCCATTTTTTGTCCGAATGATGTAACTTTCTTTCCTGATAGTTTCATTTTTTTGTCCCTTCAATTTCGTTTTTTGCCCCAATAATTCATTTTTAAATTCCACTACTCTTTTCTTTTATTTGGTTTCTTTTTCTGTCCCACATTTTCGTTTTCCATCCCAAACTTTCATTTTCTGCCTCAAATTCCACTAGTTTGTTATCACATGACCTCAATTTCTTGACCAGACAGTTTTATTTTTTTGTCCCAATAATTTTATTTTTTCCCTATAATTTCATTTTATGTCCCAATAATTTCATGTATTTGATTTGTTGTCACAAAATTTCATTTTCCATCCCAAACATCAATTTTTGTCCCAATCCCATTGGGATTGGGTTTGGAATTATATTGACCCCTGCAAATAACTGTTACAGCTAAAAGTAGGGATGTTAATGTTTTCATTTTTCAGAAAAACGATTGTTTTGTTATGAAAACGACGACAAAAAATCGAAAACGAAACAATCGTTTTTAAAAACGATCGTTTTTTTTAAAAGTTCGTTTTGTAAAAATGGTCGTTTTTAAAACGATCGTTTTGAAAAACGCTCGTTTTTAAAAACAATCGTTTTGAAAAATGATCGTTTTTTTAATAATCGTCGTTTTGTTAACAATCATTAACCACGACCCTTTGTTAATGATCGTTAACGACGGACCTTCGTTAACAATTGTTAGGGACGACTTTTCATTAACGATTGTTAACGACAACCCCTTCGTTAACGATCGTTAACAAAGAGAGGAAACCGACCTGAAGAGCATCTGTACTTATCATTGGGTAGTTTTTAAGAAAATATCAACGAGTTTTAACTCCCCCACAACTGTTAAACTTCATGTAAGACGACATTCATTAAAGTTGCATGTAATTTTTTTCCAAAAACGACCGTTTTGATAAAGTTCGTCGTTTCGTTAACGATCGTTAACAACAACCCTTCATTAACGATCGTTAACGACGACCTTTCGTTAAAGACGACCCTTAGTTAACGATCGTTAAGGACGACCCTTTGTTAATGATCGTTAACATAATTGTCAATAAAATTTTTTTTCAAAAACAATCGTGTAAAAAACGGTTACAAATCGTTTTAATAAAAACGATCGTTTTTAAAAACGATCGTTTTTTCCAAAAACGAAACAATCGTTTTTGAAAACGAAACAAAAAACGTTTGTTTAACGATCGTTTACAAAAACGATTAACAACCCTAGCTAAAAGGCCCAATGGAAATCAAGAAATACTTTGAGATTTAGCTTCAATTTCATAGAATTAACTGGAGTCATGGAAATTCTAATAACTGCTTATATACACACTGCAAATTTAACATATTTACAAACAGCAAGTAACATGTTCTTAGCAAGCTAAGAAGTACAATTAGATTAATACGAGAAGGCATCTTACAATCAAACTTGTTGAGATTAGATTCTATACCCTCTGTGTCAACTGGATCCAGGTTACACAACCTCTTCTTCTGTTTCATCATCTTCTTCCTCATCCTGTGAGATCTCAGAAATTCTACCAGGAACTACTGCTCTTGAGTTATCTCTGAGGTATGAGGACATCTGATCAGTTCACAGTTGGGCTGTGATCTCCTCCATCCCTAGGGATTGAGCTATGTTCCCAATCTCCATGCCGGCTTCTGCTGAGAACTGTATCCTCTGACTAAGTAACCTGACTCCATAGCCAGCGCAAGGCGCTTCAGTTCGAGTAAACAGTTGCTCGTCGTATCCTGCGAGAGATGTATTCATCTCAATCTCCCCAGCTAGCCAAATTGCGCAAAAAGAGCGCAATTTAAGCGTCACTTTTCGCATTTTTACGTATATTTTGCGTAGAGATTTTGGCTCTTTTTACGTCATGAAAGACTCATTATCAAAAATTATGCAATATTTGATGCATGCAGATAGGCCATCCCTGAGTAGGCATGGTACTCTCTCTGAACTGTTTCCATTCATCCGGGAATACAGTACCACATAGAGATTATAGCATTAAGCTTTATACGTTTATGAGAGTTATAAAAGTTATATAAAACTTTTTGATAGAAAATTCAGTACATTTTCCTAATAAAAATGTTTTATTTTAAAAAAAATTATAATAATTAATTCTTCAATATTTAAACACTCAAAACATATGCGTAAAAAGTGCGCAATTTTTACGCTATTTTAATGCTAACAAAGACAACTTAAATTCTTTTTAAAAGTTTATTTTTTCAATATTTTTTTGAAAATGCAATATATGCCGTATCGGAAATGTTAAATATTTCACAAATGATTTAGATTTAGAGTTTCAGGGAATTACAAAAAATTAAGCGTATATTTACACAATTTGTATACCTGAAATAAAATGATACACATCTCCGCAAATACATGATAAATATATTATTTAGAAAAATTAGATATTTACACTAATTTGAAATCTAGTCTTACGGAAATTTGCATTTTAATTGCGTAATTGGAGCCAAAATAATATGCATATACGTTGCTTACGCAATTTGGACAGCTGGGTCTCTGTTCCTGTCCCTTCCAAGGAGAGCAAGATCAGTCTGCCTCCTTCCCCCCTCAGGAGCAAAACAAGGTGCACTGGCGATTGTAGTACTCGGATGTAAGGCACAACCGAGCATCCCAGCCAGACCTATCAACTTGCTCACAGGGAGTACAACCTGGCTGTCTAAGTTCATCCAGGCATGAGAGCTGTGATAGGCATATCGCTCCTCTTTTCTACAGGACTGGAAACTCCTGAACAGGCCAAAATACTCAGCTGAGTCAATCTTTAGACGGTTAAATTCAAGGTTCTGCCTTGCCCGAACGTGTATAGCAGATGTCTTGATAACCGTGTCACGGATCTCACAGAGTTGAGTACTGGTATACAATCCCCATCCAGGGCTACTGATATAAGTCATGGTAATAACGGTGACCAGATAGTACTTCGCAAGGTTTGTTGGTGCTGCGGCTAGTCTCCTTCTTATATCATCCTCTGGAGTTAGTATCTTTATGAGACGAGGATGTCTGACCCAGTGGTAGTAGTCAGTAATCAACTTTTGACTTGGCATGTACAAACCGCCACAGACTAGGTGTGTAGAAGCCCCATGAGCGATGGTGTGCAGGTGCTTTGTAAAGAAACTGAGATTTTTAAAGTTTTTGAAAAAAGCGGAAACAGATTAAAAAATAGCAGAAACAGATCAAAAATTTGAGGAAACCGATCAACAAATTGAGATCTTTAAAGTTTTTGAAAAAAGCGGAAACGGATCAAAAATATGAGGGGACCTAAAATTTGAGGAAACCTATCAACAAATTGAGATTTTTAAAGTTTTTGAAAAAAGTGGAAACCGATCAAAAAAAAGCGGAAACGGATCAAAAATATGAGGAAACAGACCTAAAAATATGAGGAAATTGATCAAAAAAAAGAGGAAACCATTCAACTCTAAATATTGGGAAACGGATACAAAATATTCGGAAATCCTTTATCAATTCTGAACTTTTGAGGGATTTCCTTGAATTTCTAAAAAAAAAAAAAAATGCCTCAAAAATAATTTTTGATCCGTCTCCGTGTTGAGTCGTTTCCGTGTTGAGGCGTTTCCATGTCACCCCCTCATCTTGATCTTCCTCTCGGAATGTCTCCTCATTTTCAGAATCACCCATATTCTCTTTTAGAAGTGAATCAAGCAAATATATGCTTGGTTGTTTTAATTAGGGGCATTTTTTTAAATTGGGGGCAATGGGGCAAATGTGTTAGTGGAATTTGAAAAAAAATNTAGTTACCGGCTCAATAATCAACAGCGATAAATTATTCTATATTTAATTTTATTTTGCATAAAATTTACAAATTTACAGGTTTTGTTTAGAATTAAGTAAAAAAATTATTAAAAAAAGTATAAATATTCATTTTTTGATGAACTGTTGAAAATGACATTTCAAAGTCCGCCAGGTTTTAAGTTGTATAAAAAATATTAAGAGCATGTGACTGGGAGTCATTAAGAAGTTAGTTACTTGCACAAAATAACAAAAATACTATAAATATTAAAGAAACCACAACTCTGAAAATATAAATTCTGCTAGTATACAGCAATTTCATTTGTAGGTTTAAAGTTATTGCGATTTTTTCAACCTCTGTTTAGATGCAAATTTTAAATTTTCATAACAGTGAGATTTACATTTTAAAAAATAACTGCACATATATATATATATGAACCAACTTTAAACGGAAAAATAAATAAGTAGCTTAAGACCTGGCTGGCCTTATGATTAACATGTAATCTGAATACTAATTTTTTATCAAAATGACATTTTCCCTGTTCTCCACAGCCTCTGCTCTCCCTCTTGGATCTCCAAGTTGAATGTGCAAGATTGAGATCATCCTGGCGCTAAAGTATTAGCCTTCTTTAATCTTCCTCCAACTTACACCTTAATAGCATACTTATATTGTTAGGTAGAAAATCTGTTCTTAACTTCTTAGTTCTTTATATGTTATAACAAAAAATTGGAAAAAAATAATAAAAAATTAAATATAAGAGTTAAGAGTTCGCTTTTAATTGGTAATAATCTTACTTCATGTTGTGTCTATAAGGAGCATATTGTTTAAAACGACAAACCGAAGAATGTAGCTTTCATGCAAATTCAGAGTTGCAACATTAAACTTGGATCGTAAAATAATCAATTTAATTTCAAACATATCATTCAAGATATTAAAAACAATTGTCATCAATAATTTTTTGACGCATTTGTATATATCTGATATTTTATAATATTTTTTAATTTTTTTATGATCTGAGAGTTACTTTTGAAAAAATTTATTTCTGTTTCGAGCATTTCTGATAATGAAGACAACATTTTTATATTTTTCAGAATTGTTAAAAAACCTGAGCCAGCGAAATATTATTTTTTTTTAAATCAAAAATATTATGTAATATTCATTTTATACAAATGTGTGGAAAAATTATCGACTTCTATTGTTTGTAATATCTTGAATGATATGTTTAGAATTAAACAGATTATTTTACGATTCAAGTTGAATGATGCAATTTTTCAGAATTTGTATGGACACTACCTTCTTCGGTATGCGTCATTTTTAACAATTTTCTTCATTTAGACGCAACATTTAGAAGTAAGATCAGTAGCGATCAAAATCACTTATTTTTCGCTGTAAGCCTATACCCCTTTAATTTTTTTGCAAACTCTCCCTTTAAATCACATACTTCTGAGGCTTTGATTTTGATGATATCCCTTAAAAATTAATTAGGAATAATACAAATATTTCTTTACAGAAAACATACGAGCCGAATCCTTTCATGCCTTGGATTAAAGAAAAAAGCTTTTAAAATCCTTTTGTTTATCGAATGTTTATTGTAAATAAAATCACTAGAAAATTTTTAAGTTGACATTATGTAAATCTTTCATAGTCTTCGATTTGAGTTCAATATTACAGAAAGAGGTTTTATGCTTCCTAAATGAGCAACTTATATGACTTGATCAAAAATAATTTACTCGTCTTAAATGGAGTGACTGGCAATGTATGGTGGTTGAACTGAGTATGCAGTGTAATAGTCATTTTAAAAAAAGTTTTTGAGATATATAAAATGTTTCCACGATGTAAAATTACTGAGTTTGAGTGCAAAGATGACATTCAAAATCATGAATTGGATGGGTACGTGTTCAGAATCAGTGTTATTAAATAACGCCGATAAAAAATGAAGTAAAATTTATAAAGTAAATTAATTAGATGTTTAGGAACATATTTCCAAAAGAGGTTTGTTAAAATATTAATGTTAGAATCAATTATTCCGTTAGAATCATATCACTAAATTTCTTATTTTCTATGAATTTATTCACAGAGTTTTATAAATGCTTCTAATGTTGTCATTTCAATAAAAATTTCAAAAAATCTTCAGAAAACCTTTGTGAATATTGCGAGATTATAGAAACTAATAATTGAAAAAGATTACTTATTTTGGATGATAAGTTTCTTTTATTTTCTCAATCTGTTCCTTTTCAAGTAATAAGTTCACTGTAAAATTCTGTCTACAATTTTTATTGTTTTTATTTAATAATTAAAAAAAATATATAAACATACCCACCCAAGTTCATGAATTTGAACATCTACTTTGCGCTGGTTCTTGGTAACGTTATATATATGTCTCAAATGAATCCTAAAATTTTATTCCACAATACTAAATATTCAGATCCAACCACCATCCATTGCTGGTATTTCCTTAAACAAAATTATCTCAGGATTACCAGTGGTGTCCTTAATATATGAATACAAACTACAAAGTGCTTCTTATTCATGTTCTTTTCCCCATTAATGCCTAAAAGTTAACCATTCACCCTTAACCATGATCACAATCCAAATATATATATAAAATACATATATATTACGCTTATTTTTTAATTAACAATTAACAATATACAAATGTACACTCCTAGACTGTATAAAGCACAAATGTACTGAATATACCTACAGTACACCCCCTTCGGTTTGGTATTACTTACACACACTCTTTTAGTACAGACACACACACATGACGTTTCTAGCCCCTAATCTCAACATTTTGAATGTGTCGGATAAAGGTTTTAAATTGTTTAGAAAAAGATTTTTCAAATTTTCAGCTTAGTTTCATTATTTTCAACAAATCTGTGTTGATTACAATTGCTTTACAAAAGGCGAATGTACAACAAAACTGAAAAATACTCTGCCCATGCAAAATCAGACTTATGAACGAAAACTTTTTAAAAACTTGTGCCAACTTCATTTAAGTATTTAACCTTAAAGTTCTAATAACCTGCAGTAAATCCTTGAGAATGCAACTTCTGTTGTATCTTTAAGTCCTGCTTCCAACTGCAAACAATACATTCAGGGCACAACAGTGACATAAGGGGGGAATTAAAAACCACTAAAATTTATAATCATCAATTTTTTTGTGGCATGCACTTTAAAGAATTTAGTTTTGCCTGTCACGTCTAATCCAACAAAATTGTATTTCAAATCAAATCAAATCAAATCAAATCAAATCAAATCATGGGTTTTAGGGAAAGCTTTAGGCTCCATTCATCAGCCCAGAGTTAATAGCCACTAGATGGTTTAAAACAAGTGTTTAGGATCTAGATCCGGATCAGTTGAATCCACAATATTTTGGTATCCTGGATCCAGATCTGCAAAAATATGGGGATCCACGGATCCGGATCCAAGTGGCAAAATATCAACCAAAAACTGCAAAAAAAAAATTTACTCTCAAAACCAAAAACCGAACTATTAAATAAGATTTTAAAAAATTTCCTGATTTTGTAATAGTTGATCAAGGTTTAACATAAAAATAAGCGATAAAAATATGATCAAAAATTTGAAAATTTTGCTTTGTTAAAAAAATTCCGTAAATTTTGAAGAAATAACCTGGATCTGGATCCAGATCCTGATTTGGCTCCAGATCCAATTTTTTCCAGTACGAATCCAGGATCCTGATCCGCATCTAAATTAATTGGATCCTAAGCACTGTTTGAAACTGTTATAAACAATGCTTAATGTTAGAGATCACAAGGTAAAGTAATTAGCTGTAAATCACTCAATAAATTTTAAGTCACAGACTTAGAGAATAAGAGAAAAAATTAAACTTTTACCTGTCTCTTACAGTTGTTGCTGTGATTGCTGGGTTTTCCATTCCCAAGTATTCAAAAATCTTTTTCTGCTCCACTGCCATCTGAATATGTTAATTTTACTCATTAAGCTTGAGCTTTACAAAAGTTAGGAAAAAAGTGTTTAAATGTTTGCAATGCTAATATCAATATAAATATTAAGAAATTGTGCCTTCCATTTTCCTTCCAATTTAACTTTCCTTTAAATTTTCCTTTCCTTCTACTGTACTTTTGTTTCCCTTTTCACCTATTCCTCTCCTTTTACTTCCCTTTCCGCACCATTTTTTTCTGTTCCATTATTTCCTCTTCCCTTCCCCTACCAACTTCCTTATTTAAAGTTGCAGGGGATGTAAAAAAATTTTTAGTATCCCTAAACACAAATATTCACAATGGTACCCTTGAAATGTTAATCAGATCAATGATATGGAAGGTATCGATCATTATTTTAAGTTTAAATTGACAATTTCCAAATTTTTCCTACAGGATAAAAGTGTGTCATTTTTCAGTCATCCCACAATTGTGAATAATCAATTCTCTAAATATTCAACAATTTTAAGGGTACAGTTGTGATTCAATCACCATCTTTGCATAGAGTCGTTTTAAATTTTTCTTAATGTTTCACTTGCAGTCATTTAAACAGTGCTTAGGATCCGGATCTGGATCCGTTGGATCTGCAAAAGCTTGGCTTCCTGGATCCAGATCCAGATTCGAGAAAATATGTTCCACAGATCCAACCAAAAACTTCAAAAAAATAAAATTTTAATCTTAAACCTAAATCTGAACTATTAAAAAATAGAGACTATAAAAAGTTCCTGATTATTGGATGGTGCATCAAGTTTTAGCATAAAAATATGCGAAAAAAAGACCAAAATTGAAATTTTGAAAGTTTGCTTTGTTAAAAAAAATTCAGTAAATTTTGAAACAATAACCTGGATTTGGATATGGATTTGGATCCAGATCCTTTTTTTTTAGGGCGGATCCAGAATCTGGATCCTGATCCGCATCGAAGTTAATTGGATCAAAAGCACTGCATTTAAAGTTAAGACAATATCTAAAACTTAACCATATTTAAACTTGAAATAATGCTTCAATATTCTGTTTATTTTACCTCCATTGTCAGGTTTTCAGAAGGAAACAGAATATTTCCCTTTAAGTATTCAACGGTTGAATCAACCTCTTCATCAAGTTTTGCATCTTTGGGTGCTGAATCAACAATCTCAACTAAGTCTGAATAAGTTGTTAAAATTAATTTAATGGATCACAATGTGACCTGTTGTCGAAACCCTATTTTTTCAGAGGTCAGTATATCATTAAATATCACATTTGGGATCTTGTTTGAAAGTACATTTATGGGCTTGAAAATACACTTTCTGTGTCATTGTGAAGTTTGAAAGTTTGTTGTGTCTGTGTACTACACTTAAGTTATGTGAAGTGCATTTGTGGTGTTACGCGATGTAAATATAAGAAATCAATCTTTAAGAGATAATTTATTTGAAAAAATAAACATTAAACACTCCCTTACACTTAACATTTTGCAATATGGATTTTTCTTCTACTATTTTTACATCATACTTCCAATTGTTTGTTGCTATGCAAAGACTGTCCTGATACGATGTAATTAAAGTAAATGAACACCTGACAATTTTCGCTTTCTGTCTATCTTATATATCCAATGCTCCTTAATAAACATTCATATAATATTACGATATTTTGCATTGCTATAAATATCAAAATCTATTTTTTATATATTTTTTAACTTATGACAAATCAAAAGTGTAAAACAAAAAACAAAAAATTTGACAACTTTTAATTTTCAATATTTTAATTTTCGCTTTAAAGAAACTTAAAATATCTCAGTGCACATTTAAACATTATTCATAATATTGCCAAAAGTCTATTGTTAATTATTGATAAATAATAAAGATGGATAATCTACACTACTATTACACAATTACAGAAAAATACTGGGTTTTCGATAGCCTGCCCCCCCCCCCCAAAAAAAAAAAATGATTAAATAATTTCAAAACATACCCTTAATGCAGGCAGGCTATTTATATGTATGTTCTTAACACAGAAGTATTCCTAAAATTATGACAATTAAAATACTGTTAACATATAAAACCATTTTCAGATGTAAAACAATTTTAAAATTACGGAGAGGAATTATTGATATTAAATAAACAAATATTTTTATATTTTTCAAACATATAAGCAAATATCTTCCAAGTAAAATTTAAAAAATGGAAAAAAATATTTCCACATTTTTACATATTTTTAAAGCTTTTTCACCAAAAATTTTGAGCCAAATACCATCTATGTGTTTTAAAAACTTGCTTGTTAGTCAAGAATCTCATTACTAAGATCAGATCAAAGTTTAAGGTTTTTCAGATCCTTTTTCCCACTATTTTCCCACTTTGTTAATGTTTTCAGATTCATGAATTCATTTTTCTAAGGAATCTGAATGAAATTTTGAATATTAAACATCATTTCTATTTCTTTTAAGGAAAAAAAAAAAAAAAAAAATGTTTTTCCCCTTTTTCCACATTTTTTCATGTTTTTCAAAGCTTTTTTCACCAAAAAGTCTGAGTCAAATACCCGTTCAGATCCCGTTTCCCCCCTAGTTTATGATACTTTCCCACTTTGTTAACATTTTCAGATTTTCTGGATTCATGAATTCATTTTTCTAAGAATTTGAATGAATATCTGCTTGTTACTCATTACTAACATCAGAACAAAGTTTAAAGTGTTAAAGGGTTTTAGATCCCTTTCCCCCCTATGGCATATTGTATATTTATTATATTTATTCTATGTAATTGACTCGGATTTTTTGGTGAAAAAGCTTTAAAAAACATTAAAAAATGTTAAAAATGGGGAAATTTCTTTCCAATTTTTTATTTTACTTGGAAGAAACACGAATGATGCCATTATGCAGAATTTCATTCAGATTTCTCAAAAAATGAAGATAGGAGTCCAAAATGTATTCAAATTGGTCAAAGATACACCTCCCCCCCCTTTCCCGTTTTAGGGACTGTAAGCGTGGCTACAATTGGCCCTCCATTAATATAGTTGAATATCCGATCTACAGACATTTTGGTCTGATCAAGAAAAGTTTGTTATGATGTATGTATAAATATTAAACTGTGCAGTTTCATTTCAGTAATATTTAAACATCATATTACCAAAAATAGTTTATGAATAAATTGATCGTTATTGTGGCAAATGAGTGTAAAGAGTTCAAAAAATGGGTTCAATATAGAAAGGCATACCTGGTGAATATTTGGTACTTTATAATTATAAACCATCGGGCGTCCTAAATCAGATAACATTTTAAAATTAAGGTATTAAAAAAGCTTTTTATAAAGAACTAGGTGAAGGGCCCGGCGTTGCCCGTGGAAAAAAATAGTTTGAAAAAAATTGGATTTTTTTAGCCTTTATCACTCCCAATCGGTCCAGCCGTTTGGCCGGCTATAGGGAACATATATATATATATATATATATGACTCTTGTTTTATTTTACAGGAGAAAAATTTTATATCATTTCAGAGGTGTATCATGTATGAATCTAACCAATCTCAGGACACATTTAAGTATTTTTCCACAAATTATTATGTTTTTAGAATTGGAACTCATATAGTTAAGATTCCTGCAATATACACCTGCGAAATGATTAAAAATTTGTCTCTCTTAATAAGAAGCTGCAATAAATTTGAACAACTTTAAAATTGTTGCAATTTATAAAACAAAACAAAGGTCTTCATCTCATAAAAAGTAGACTTGTTCTACAAATTGTTTTTAAACCATTAAAAAATTGTATGCTAATGTTGAGATAAAAAAAGAACAAATATGATAAAACAATGCTCATCAGTCAATATTATAATTGTTCAAATAATGAAACCTACTAAAAAAAATTCACAACTTCTCCGCCGAGAAAAAATGATAGAAAATGAATTCCAAGAACAATATGTTCTTGGACTGACAAATAATCAATCCATACTTTTTTTTGACATTGCCACCATAGAATTACCGAAAGTTTTTAAAAAAATTGTCTGCGGCCCCCTGTTTGCTTTTTACAAGGCAGCATGTTAGGGATTATTATTTACTGCAATATACATATTAAAAATTATATCTTTATAGATCTTGAATTTAGGAAAGGAAATTTAAAAAAATTGAGGGGGGGATGGGAAATCACAAATTTGTACTATATACACCCCTGAATAATTGCATATCATTACCATGCTCACTGATAACTGGTCAAGGTGGTGATAAATGTCAGTTTGGTATTTTGATGGTATATATGTATATATAGAAAAATGTTATTAAAAGAAGTCTGATCTCCAATGCCCATTCTTAAGAACTCACCATTCTGATCAAATTTAACATTTAGTGTTGACTTCTTTTGTCCCCTCGAAAAACTTGATCACAGCCCGGAACCACACAGATAACTACAATAAACGATGTCTATATTTTAATTGGACAATAAGTTTTTCCAGTTAAGGGTTACCCTAATACAGTAACAAAGTGAAAGGACACATAAAAGAGTAAATTTATTGAGTAGTATCTACTTAAGAAATAAAAGAGCATGTTTTGTGCGCTAATCAGTGCTTAGGATCCGAACCCATAGGATTTTTGCTTCCTGGATCCAGATCCGCAAAAATAAACAGATTAACGGATCCAGATCCAAGGGGCAAAATATCAACCAAAAACTGAAAGAAAAAAAATGTACTTTCATACCCCAAATCTGAACTATTAAAAAAGAGAGATTACAAAAATTACCTGATTTCTGACTGGTTGATCAAGTTTTAACATAAAAATAAGCAAAAAAATAAGACCAAAAATTTAAAATTTTTGCATTGTTAAAAAAATTCCGTAAATTTTGAAGAAATAACCTGGATCTGAATCTGGATCCATTTTATTCCCAGTGCGGATCCAGGTTCCTGATTTGGTTCCGCATCAAAATTAATTGGATCCTAAGCACTGACCCTCACTTAACCTGAAAGTAATAAATTAACTTAATGAAATGGCCATACTTTTAAGTTCATACCGACAGGGGGTTATTGCAAAAAGTCCTTTCTAGAAACTGTGTTGTAAACCAATATTTTTGCATTCAAGTCCAGGGGTGTTTTGCAATACAGTTTTTACTTCAACCCCCAACACTACTCCACCCCCGATGAATTTTATTTATTGGTTTTGTGCATTGAATTCAGAAAAAGAAATAATTTTGGTAAAATATATCAGTGAAAAAAAATTGCCTTTCTGTTAATCTTTACATTTTTCCGTCAAATTATCTAAAATTATTTCCCTGAATACATTACACTTGTGTTCATCACAGTAATATTTATATTCTAAAAAATGTATGTGGATCAACCATGGCGCAACTAGTTGGGGTGCCCAACTTTACATTACATTTTGATAATAAGATCATATTTTGCTGACAGTTGGGATATTAACCCTATTCCCGCTATTACATAACTCAAAAAGTATTGGTCTGAGGCTGTTGAAATTTTCTGACTTTTCTTACATACCCAAAGCCCTCCCTTTAGGCCTAAAACTGGGCTTTAATACTAACTTTCTGAGTCCTCAGGCACACTGCCTGAATGACTGCTTTTGCCTGTAACAAACTAAATCTTTGTTTTGACCCACTTTCCCTTATCAGATTTTGATAAAATTTAGCTTTTTGGAAAGCCTATGACATAAGGAAACGGATTGCACAAGTTTTGTGAAAAAAAATTGCAAATTTTTTGCAAACAACCTGTCAAAGGAAATTTGCACATTTTTAGTTTTTCTTGATTAAAAATCAGGTTAATTAAAATTTTGCAAAATTTTTTGCATATTTGAAATGGCATGGTCAAGGGCTTTTTAAAAATGTATAATTTGTCATTTTTTGGACAAATTTTTTTTGTAAACATTTTTCCTATAAAACTGGATTTTGCAATAAAAAATTCAATTTTCGCAAATTTGCAAATTTTTTTGCAGATTCTAAAAGTAGAGCACAAGAGCTTTCTAATGATGTATCATTCGTCATATTTGGACATAAAACGGGGGGTCAAATTGACCCCCCCCCAGCATATCCTGGTTTTCAAGTACCCCAGCAGGGATAGGGTTAAGAGAATAGTGCTTAAACTGCAAGACCATTTCCTGTAGCTAATTGGGTGAAAATTAATACTACTGCTCATTTTCAACATTTTCTAATATTTATTTATAGTTAATATCTGATATATCACAAGAAACGAGAAATATGAAACTGGATTCTTTTCCTTAAACTTGATTTAGGAACAGTAAAACAAAAACAATGCTGTTCCAAAATTGTAAATCTGTAGAAAACTTTAAACTCCGGATAGTTAAATTTTCCTTTTATAAATCCATATTTTGGGAGACACCCTGTACAAAATGACTAGCTACGGCGGATAAAAATGCACTTAATTCTTCTTATTTAAAAATCACATTCACAAGCAAAGTCTAAATAGAAAATGATAATTCTATAATGAACGTTTATCTTTCACCTTTTACGTAAAAAGACAAAAATACTCTGGACAAAGTTTCAACCAACATATAAAAGTTCTGGAATATTCGTTTTAGTCCTCAAACACTTCAGAGTTTCCTAACTCTTGATATTTTCCTTCAGTTTCTTATCTCTTGATATTATCCTCCAGAGTTTTTAAACTCTTGACAATATCTTCCAAAGTTTTTTTCTCTTGATAAAATACTGCAGAGTTTCTCAACTCTTGACAATATCCTGCAGAGTTTCTCAACTCTTGATATTATCCTTCAGTTTCTTATCTCTTGATATTATCCTTCAGTTGCTTATCTCTTGATATTATCCTCCAGAGTTTCTCAACTTTTGACAATATCCTTCAAAGTTTTTTTTCTCTTGATAAAATACTGCAGAGTTTCTCAACTCTTGACTATATCCTGCAGAGTTTCTCAACTCTAGATTTTATCCTTCAGAGTTTCTTAACCCCCTCAACTTCCTTAATTTCCTGAACTGACAGAGTTCTTGGACTTTTCTTGACATTCTGTAGAGAGTTCTAGACCTTACTAATGGTTCTTAAAGAGTTTATGGACAGTCTAGGATATCTTCAGAAAGTTTCAAATGAAGAATGTTTTAGTTTTCACTTTATAGTTTTTAATTTTCGCAATAATCAATATGTTCAATTGTACTTGATATTGGAGTCAAATCTCCTCTAAACATAATTGTTAAAATCTTTTGAGTGTTTAAAGCGCTTAAAGAAATAAATTAATACGGAGGATACTCTTAGAGGTTCTCTGAGGTTTTTTTTGGTCCTAAGATGTTCTAGGAGGTTTAAGATTGGATTTCCGAGAACTGTTTTTAATCGAAGTTTCCTTGTTTGATTTATCTCCATGTATGTACTGCTTTGATGTCGATCCGAAAATTGGAATTTCTTGTCAATATGAAGGATTGGTCTAATTTCTCCTCTCCAGCTGTGACCTCTGTTAGCTGTCGATAAGGCTAAACTCAGCTCTGCGTGGGATAGTCTAGCCTCGCTCTGGGACGGAGTTAATGATCATCAACTTGAGTGTCAAGCCAACGTCTTACTGCCTCCAAAGTTTGCCTCGGCATGATCTCATTCTTACTCTGATGTTGCTTCCTGTGCTTATAAACAGTCCGGGCCAAGAAAAATTTATAGCAGGTTCTGCAGACCACATAATCATTATGATTATCAGAGGTTTTTCGGGCAACCACAAAGCTTCCCTCTTTCGACTTAAGGGTCTGAATATTGTGCTGAAAGTTTCCCTTATGACAGAGTCTGCTCTTCAGTCTCGACTGTTCTTTTGGACAGCTTGTGTCAAGAATCCTTTGAACATGAGGTTCATCATGATGAGCCTTGACTTGATACCAAAGTGATTTATAGCCACCTAAGTAGAATTTGCAGAAGGCTTCCTTGGAACCATTAGTTTCACCAATAACCACTATTTCTCACTTTCCGCATCTCTTTCCACTTCTCTTTTCTACACTGAACGAGGCCTTCTTTTTCTTTTTCTCCAGCTCCGGTTCGGATTCTGAATCACGGTCGCTGGACGAATAATCACTGGACAAGTCCCTCTTCGGAAGACAAGATAAGATAAGCTTCACTGATCTACCAGCAGTAGTGCTGGACAAACAATCACTTAGCCTCTTGTTCATATTCTGAATCACTGGAAAACATAAGCTTTGTAACCAGCATCGGAGACGAACAATCACTGGACTCCGGCTCCAGTTCAGATTCACTGGAGGAAGAACAAGCACTGGACGACTTCATATTCTTAATTTACTTCTTTTTCTGCAGCTCCAGTTCAGCTTCTGATCTTACTGATTTATCAGCAATACCGTTGGAGGAAGAACAAGCACTGGATGACTTCATATTCTTCTGTTTCTTCTTTTTCTGCGACTCCAGTTCAGATTCTGATTTAACTGATTTATCAGCAATACCACTGGAGGAAGAACAAGCACTGGACGACTTCATATTCTTCTTTTTCATCTTTTTCAGCGACTCCAGTTCAGATTCTGATCTAACTGAGGCTCAGGATCAGTGGAATCTGGGTATATTCAAATCTCACGGATCTACCAGCAGCACCGTTATTTTTCGCCGAGAGGTGCAGCTATGAGGTCCTACAGATCCTCTGAGGTTTGTCAGATTCAAGGTTATTCTCGCACTCATTCATCTTCCAGGTTTCAGTTTAACGTTAATTATCAGTTGTGGGGTGTAGCTCCGAGATCGCCAGATCTGAGATCCGTCTGGCTGTCAGTTGGGTCCCAGGTTTCGGTTTAACTAAGCATAAAGAAGTAGTGATGAAGAAGAGATTCTAGAAAAATTAATTAAGCGTAACTAAGTGAAAATTTTGATAGTGAAAACCTTTAAATCCAATTTTCGATTTTAATTAAGAAGATAGTAGAGATTCTTAAAATACTATTAGAGAGTAATTAATTTATAGTCTCTGGCAGTCTATTCATGTACAAATTTCTTGACCTCAGTATAGATAAGATAGATATAAATTCCATTGACATAGAATAAAGTCGGCACGTCTTCCCATGGCATCCTGTTAATCTTATTAAATCTTTTTTACCGTTATTCTTTCCATTGGGAATTGCAAATCTGAGATCTGCCAAAATAGAGATCCACCTGTCAGCAATCGAGCGATTCCCTATCTCATACAGCTCCAGTGATCAGGATTAGTTGGTTTCTCGTCTAACGTTTTCCTCAAGCTATTTAGCCACAATTCACTCCTCAGGTTTGAGAAAGTTGAAATGTTAAGGCAATAGGAATAAATTGAAAATTAGGAGAGTTAGTTAGGATATTTGGAGTTTTAATGCTTTGAAATATCGAAATGGGTAAAATAAAGTACAAGCAAGTATTGACAAAAGTCAGCAAAAATAGGAGATATTTTTGCTTCAGGAGCTTCAAAACTGACAAATATTGGCATAAGTCAGCAAAAATAGGAAATATT